TAAATGACACACACCTGAACCAAATGACATAATCAGACAGACGGGAAAACTAGGTCACGAGAACATGAGGGAGAAAACACTACAAAACGTCCTGGGGTGTGACAATATATATCTCAATATTTACATGGTTTATTCAATAACCATATCAAAATTATATATAATAATGAATAACTTTATATAAATATAATTTAAATAGTTATCATTATACTATTAATTTAAATATTTTTTTTGTATTTATATAATTATATTAATTACTAATTACATTTTGTATGAACGTTATTGATAAATATATAGAGACCTCAGAATCCATACTGGATTATACATATATAATTATTTTATAATTATAGAATTTAAATATTCATCACTATACTAATAATTAAAATAATATATGTATTTTTTCTATTTATATGAACGTTTCCACCAACAAATTGTGATCCATAAATATCTTTCATACTAACATTTATTCATAAATTCCAAAGGAAATAAATACATAAATAAATAAATAAATAAGTAGGTTATGAGTAGTGAAGAGGACTCCTAACTAAGCCACAAACTATCCTAAAATAGCTGTTGCCAGAAATCTGCCTCGGAACGTAAACATTTTAGAAACATTTGACGATAATGAGCTTTTAAAAAGGTATCGCCTTTGGTTTTGGAGGTTATCCCAGCTCTGAATTATCCTTTGATTATGTCCTTGTTTTCATTAAGCAGCTGGGCAAGAAGTAACAGCTGTTCTTGCGTCCAGTTTGGTTTTCTTTTACAATCGCATGTCCTTCTATCAGCCATGATTATTCTACTCTGTTAATTAAAAGGCTGTTTATATGCATATCCGCTAATTGTTTACGAAAAGCACACATGTAAGACAAGGCTGACAATATATACTTGTTTAATTAGTGACACTTAGCCTGCATTTTTAAATCTTTATTTGAATGTGGCAACATTTGTATTTTTAAACCTTTATTTGAATATGGCAACATAATATCGCACTCTACAATATTCAGAGACTATCAGCCAATCACTGTGTGCATAGTTAATAAGCACGCATAGCAATGAGCTCAGCCCCGCCCCCTTACTCTGAGCTTAAGACTTCTCTCTATTCCTTAGTTTCTTACAAGTTTGTCTCAGCAGCTTTGTGTATAGGTTTGTGTATTAAGAGGAAACTCTTAGCTAAAAACTTTTACTGCTATTTAGGAGAACTCTTAGTGGTAACATAAAATGTGAGCCTGGACCGTACCTAAAACTTAATTTTTGATTAGTAATATGCTTTGCTAAGAACATAATTTGGACAACTTTAAAGATGATTTTTTCAATATTTTGATGTTTTTGCACCCTCAGATTCCAGATTTTCAAATAGTTGTATCTCGGCCAAATATTGTCCTATCCTAACAAACCATACATCAATGGAATCAGATGATGTATAAATCTCAATTTTGAAAAATTGACACTTAAGACAAATGTTTTGTGAATACGGGCCCTGAACTGTCTCAGATTATCAGTAGGGAAGATCTCAACCCTTGTTACCATGATTCAGTAAATACTGGTTTTGACTGAAAGCACAGTGATCTGAGCCTGTCGTCTCTCACCGAAGCCGATGAGTCCGAGTGTTTCTCCACGGATGCGTGCGGCTCCGGATGCCACTTCACGGATCTGCTCCACGCTCTGAACACGCGTGCCCTCCCGCAGCGCCTGATACAGCCACGTGTTCCTGCGGTACAGATTCAACATGTGACACAGCGTCGAATCAGCCGTCTCCTCCACCGCCGCCGACGGGATGTTACACACCGCGATCCCTGAACACAAACACACACAACCGCTCAGAAACACTGACAAAACATCATAGAATAAAGCAATAAGCTCCAAGAAGCCGTGGTTTACAGTGAATTTATAACAGCTAAGGGGCATTGTTAGGGCCTTAGCTGTTATAAATTCACTGTAAACCACGGCTTCACGGGGGTTATTGCTTTTATAAAACGGTTATTCCATATACGTAGTAAGGTTTAACAAAATAAAACAGAGCAAATAAAGTGTAATGATATTAATAAAAACAGTATTCTTCCATCAAACAATGTAGCTCCTCAGAAACAGTTGTGGTTGCTACAAAGTGGTTGCCGAGCAACACACAAACATAAACAAAGGTGTGTGTTACTTTGTAGAGTCATTTACAACAGCTTCGAACGCGGCTCAGCCAATCAGAATCAAGCACCGGAACTCTCCGTTTTATAAATATCAGTCACCACTCTGTATCTCTAATAATATGATGAGATTGAAATGATCCAAACATATAATGCAATGCCATCCAATGATGACTGAGAGATGAAGAAATAAACGCTCCTCAGAAGATGTGAGATGTGTTCTATGTGAATATCTGTTAAACTGTCATTTATTTCTGTGATCAAAGCTGTATTTTCAGCATCATTACTGCAGTCTTCAGTGTCACATGATCTTCAGAAATCATTCTAATATGCTGATTTGCTGCTCAAGAAACATTTCTGATTATTATCAATGTTGAAAATTGTTGCGCTGCACAATATTTTTGTGGAAACCGTGATACATTTTAGTTTTGAGGATTCACTGATGAATAGAAAGTTCAAAAGAACAGCATTTATCTGAAATGGAAATCTTTTGTAACATTATAAATATCTTTACTGTCACTTTTGATCACTTTAATGCATCCTTGATGAATAAAAGTAAAGCTGAAATAAAATGTATAAAATAAAAGAAAATATTAGATACAAAAATTAAACTTAAAAACTTGCCTTAGCAACTAATTGAAATAATAAAATAAAATATTAGATTAGATTAGTACTGAACTACTAAAATTACTAAAGCTAAAACAGAAAGTGTAAATATTAGATGAAAATCTTAAAATTTAAAAATGCAAAAGAAAATTTGACATCTAAAATAAGCAAGTTTATATTGAAGTACTAAGATTAATAAAACTAAAAATTAAATGAAAGCTAAATATAAAAATGAAAAAAAAAAGACAAAGTTACTAAAACTTATAATAAATTAAAATCAAAACCAATAATATACAAAAAAAGCTAATTCAAAATATGACTAAAAACTATAACGGAGTATAAATAATACAAAAATAGCACTAGCATCTGTACAATTACACTAAAAGAGCTTTTTAACTGGATAAAAAACTCTAAACTATCAATCAGACGACCGAAGGCATGGAGGAAATCAAAGTGTGATCATATAGAGACCTTAGACCTTTGTATCAAATATGATACAGTATGCATAACTGTTAATTTGATTTGATTGTGCACTAGTTAGTGTTGATGTTCATTACCCAGCTCTCCGGCCGCTTTAATGTCGATGTTGTCGTATCCGCTGCCGATGCGGATGATGATCCTGAGCGCTTTGAACTTCTCCAGATCCTCTCGCGTCAGTGTGATGCTGTGATACATCAGAGCGCCGATCGCATCGTTTAACACCTGAGACACACACACAAGCACCGCTCAGAGCTCATCTGCTCACGCACGCTATCCCATGATGCTTCACATGACTCTCACATCCATCGCTCGGCTGTAAATAACGCTCTGATTGGGTGGATGAATGTAGTAAATTATTTTTTATATTCTGTCTTACCGATGATTCTATTCCTACTTTGAAATAATCAATGCAGTCATTGAAAATTATCCCTAAACACTCACTTACATTTTTTTCTAGATCATCATGATGCTTTGGAAGCTGGTCTGAAGTAGGGTTATTTTCTGTAACTGAAACCAAAACTTGAAATAAAACACTAAAAATAAATTCTGAAATAAACTAAAAAAAAAGTGAAATGTTGCCTTGGCAACTAACTGAAAACAAGTTTTTTTGTTTATATTTTAAGGCTACTAAAGGTAACTAAAATAACTAAAACTGAGATTAAAACATACAAAAACAATATTACTAACACTAAAAATGAAAATAAAAACTATATAGGCAAAAAACTAATAAAAATGATAAATACACATAACAAAATTACTAAAACTGAAATAAAAAATAAAAGCTATAAACATATTTAAGAAAAACTAATAAAATGACAAATACACACAACTAAATTACTAAAACTGAAATAAAAAAAATGTTTAAAAAAAGAATAAAACTGAAAACAAAATTGAAACTGAACTAAAAAACTATTTATCAAATACTATACTACAATTTTTACTATTATTTACACTTTCTATTATATCTGTTTTCTTTTTATTTATTATAAAATAAAATAAAAAAACCTTGCTACGTGTACTGCATTAAGCTAACTGAGACTTGTTATAGCTCTTGTCATCATTGCTTTTGTTGATTCTGATTGCTTCCATTGTCCTCATTTGTAAGTCGCTTTGGATAAATGGACTGGGCATCACAGAAGGCCACGGTTGCCAGATCTTTGAGGATCGGCATCTCAACCGTACAGTCCCGACCGTCCAGCAGAGCAATCAGAGGACGAGGATGCATCGGGCCATTCACGATCTGAGGCCTGATACCTGCACACACACACACACACACACACACACACACACACACACACACACATATAGTATCTAAACAAGAGACCTGAATACTTACAGATGAGATCAATGCTGATTTTACAGCACAGAGGTGTGCCTTTAATCTGTCTTTTTTATTCAATAATTCAACAAGTCAATAATTCTTATTTTTATGTATTTGCTGTGTTCACCTGACACAAATTAAGAAATGACTGCCATTGGAACATGTTTGCAGTTTGTCAATATTAAATATGATAAATAATAACTGCAGTGAATGTATATGCAAAACATATCAGGGCTGTCTATAATAGTATGAACTAAAGAGGTTTAGTTTATTGCATTATATACACTTCTTTTTTTTTTTGAGAATGCATACTATATTTTAATCCGATTATGGTTTATGTCATTCACAATGCTTCATAGGAGTGAATGTACACTTTTGAGCACTTTTGGCACAATTTATGTTTCACAGTGATTGAAGACACATCATCACTTAAACATCGCTCACATACGATTTATACATTATTTATCTACTGTTTGGATGATATAAATAGGATTTTTACTTCCAGAGCCAAGAATGCTGTATGAGTCTGATTAACAATGAATCTGTAAATGACTCTGGATGTGAAGGGAACATTAACAGAGCTAAACATGTTCCAACTACAGACGGTTTGATCAAGAACCTGTTGATTCAGGAGTAATCTAGAAACGAGGAAAACAGTGTTTTAAACCCTAAAAGCATTCTGAACATCAAGCGTTTCTGTATCTGCTCAAACACAGGATCTTTTCTTCATTTTGACTGAATCAGCTGGTGTGTTTGGTGATTTTTAGAGAATGCATGAAGTCAGTTCTGCTCAATTCACACAGAATCACATGATTCACTCAAGAACAACAAACACACACAATACTGACCGTCTTCATCTTCAGCTACATCTACTGATTCAGCATTTCAAACCTACAAAGTCAAATTTTCTGATTATAAAGCGAGTTTGTGCATCTTTATTTACAATAAATGACACTTGATTTCAACTTATATATCTATAATGAATGACGTTCAGACATTGTTAAGTATGACCTGAATACTTTTGGGGTGTCACTGTATAAGAGACAAGAAAAACAGATGAAGAGAGAGGCTAAAAACTCATGATTAAAAAATAAAAATGAAAACAAAAGAGCAAAAGAGGGTGACACACAGTCGGTGTGGATATTCAATATCCAGGAGCCATTCCATTTACAATGCATGAATTATTCACACCGACCTCCATCCAGAGACACAGACACGCTTCATATCCAAACTCAACACTGACGGCATTACAAACATCTAAATCGCCAATTAAATTAAAATTAAACACCACTGAACATGTTTATTTAGAAGCATGCAGATGAATGTCTTTGACTGAAAAAACTCACTCGGCCTGATCTGACCTGGAAACCGAGCGATATAAACTCACATCTCACTAAGGAACCTCGTGGGATCTATACTTAAGATTACATAACCACACACACACACACACACACACACACACACACACACAAACACAAACGAGCCCTTAAGCCTACGTCCTATAAAACACTCTCACAGTTTGCTGGCTCTTTCGCTCCATCATTTATTTGAGGGTGAACCTGTCAAGAACATGTCCAGGTCATATTTCTATCCATAATTAAGTGAATATACATAAGAAAATTAAGTCTGTAGTGAAAATCCTTTACCTAATTTAGCGTTCCTGCTCAAAAAAAACAAAAAAACTGACCTTTTAAAAACTCTCTCATTATGCGTAAATCTTGGATTCAATCTCTTTGTCAATTTGTTTTCTTTCAATTAGCACAGGTTTTGTATTTCTTTTTGAAACAGATTGGTCATAGGCCTCATTGATCTGAGCTAATGCACCTCAGCTTTTCAGTGAAAAAAAGCATTATTTGTGGGTAATTTTGGCAATATTTTGGCAAAAACTGAGCTGCATCAACGAAGGCCTACCATCAAGTAGTTCCAAAAATAAATAAAAAACCTGCGCTAATTGAACATACTCTCACACTCACACACACGTCTTTAATCGCTTCTGTCTTTCTACAGGACATGTACTGAAAACACAAACTGACTCATCCCGCTGCACACATAAGCTAATTTACCCTTCCATACTTGTCGTCACTACCCATAATGCACTGCAGCCACAGGTGTTCTGGGCGTAAGCAGGTTCAGATGATCCTCCAGCGGGTCACATGTCTCTCTCTTTCTCACACACAAACACACATGTGTCACTGACCTGCGGTGAGCTCCTTCCGGCGGTCAAACTGCTCGGTGTGTGTTTTCCGGTGAGCGGCGGACGCTGCTCTGTTTAACAGCACCTTTAATAAACTACTTATGAAACCAACCAACTGAGAGAGTTTAAGAGTAAGACTACCAGCAGCCACAGCAGAGCACCGCCCTCTCAACACACACACACACACACACACACACACACACACACACACAAACACACACACACACAAATAAACACACACTTCTTCAGTTTGTAAAATGTGTTCGTACACATTCATTCATTAGGATGATGATATGTGTCTTTCTAAATAAAATGCACACAAATGTATAGCTGTCCTCATTTACACACATTATCTGTGTGATTACAATGTGATTAAAATGGAGCAACTAATGACACATACTGGAAAGAAAGAAAGAAAGAAAGAAAGAAAGAAAGAAAGAAAGAAAAGACAAAGCAAGTTAGAAAAAAAAATGGCAGGAGGAATGAAGGAAGAAACAGAACACGTTCATAGTGAAGTATTATTCCTCTGATGAAACTCACTGAATTTTAATTTAATCCTGCAAGTTGAATCAACATTGCCATTACAATGTTGTCTTTTACAATGTCTTTGAGTTGATTTGTGAACATTTTGTTAGCCTAGCATTTAACATTGTTGCAATGTTTTTTCAACATTGAAACAACTAACATTATTTCAACCATATTTCGATGTTGAAAGTCAGTCACGTGTCAGCTGTAACAGAGCTCATTTACAGATCTGCCACCAGCCTCCTGAACACCAACAACCTTCAGCCTGACAAACTCCTCATGTGCATTTAACACACAGAAGAACCTCAAAGAACCTTCATGGATCATCGGCGGTTTGGTGAACTATAGCCTGAACAGTCTCCACAATTCACTTGTGAGTTTTCTAGAGACTCTCAGTGTGTGTCTCCAGTCGAGAGACTCTAACGCGTTCTCAGAGGACCGTGTCTCTGCATATCCTATTAACCCTAATGAGATTTTAGGCTCTAAGACTCTGATTAGGCCTGCAGTGAGGTACAGTGCTCAGCTCGAACTGTAAAGCTCACACACACTGTTAACTGAACAGAGAAAGAAAACACTGTGGTTCTTGTAGATTAAATGTAATGCATAATCATGGTCCCAAAAGGAAGAGGCCTGGGTTAAAATTGCTTGTAAAGAATTATAATCAATCTTCAATCTTACTCTGAACTCATGGCAGTGACACTGTTCTTTTTAAAATTGTAAAACACACAAATGCAGGTCTGAAAACACATTCATGCACACACAGCAATGCACTCAAGTTCAAGGTCAGTAAAAAACCTTCTATATTCCTTAAGCTGCTGCAAAGAGTTTCTTAAATAGTTATGAAGCCGAGTCTATTCAAGTAATTTGTGAAGTTCAGCTGGGATCACAAACGCTGAATCGCACTAGATAGGGTATATATATATATATATATATATATATATATATATAGTCTCCTAATCTAAAAACAGAGCACTTAGCTAAATCTGCTAATCCTAATATCCAAATATTTTAAAGTTTCAAATGAATGTTTCAGAAAGTAACGTTTGCATATTTTTGCATATTTTGCATTTACGGTCTACACCATCCATATTAGTGCTGGGTAATAATTAATCACGATTAATCGCATCCAAAAGTTTTTGTTTACATAATATATGTGTGTGTACTGTGTATATTTATTATGTGTATATATAAATACACACACATGCATGTATATATTTAAGAAAAATATATTTATATATAAATGATATGATTATAAATATATACATGTAAATATATGTAAATATTTTCAAAATATATACTGTATGTGTGTGTCTTTATATATACATAATAAATATACACAGTACACACACATATATTATATAAACAAAAACTTTTATTTTGGATGCGATTAATCGCGATTAATCGTTCCCCAGCACTAATCCATATTACTAAAAACTTTTACTTAAGTAGAAGTAAGAAAGTACTAGATTTCTAAAGTAATTAAGTATTAAATTATATTTAATATAAAATGTAGTGCAGTAAAAAGTACAACATTATGCTTTGGAATGTTGTGAAGTAAAAGTTTTCTAAAGAAAAACACTGATAAACCACAGACAGTTGAAAAATGTACTTTCAAGGAAGAGTAAAAATACTTTACTATTGTCCGCCTCTGCTAAAAACAAGGAATATGTAGAGTACATTTGAAGCGGAAGCAAAGAATAAACAACGCCTAAACATCAACAAGCACAAACCCAAAACTACACTGTAAAAAATTACCGTGAATTTAACGGTAAAAGACTGTAAAAATGCTACAGTAAAAACCTGTTAAATGGTTAACGGTAAGTTCCCCTTCTATATACAGTGAAAAACTGTATTGGACATTACATATACCGTTTTTGGAAGTGAAAAAGAATGTATAATTTACAGTGAATTACTGTAAATTGACATTCCCAGAATTCCCTGCATTACATTTCAAATTTGATGTTTTTTTGTTGAAATAATTGTTACTTCTTAGTTTTTTTTCTTATCAGTTTTGTACATTAGGGTTGTATGTTACACCTAATGTTGTTAAATTGATGTTTATTGCATTATTTCTTTATTGCATTACCATGATGGTGTTTAGTGTTTGTTAATGACACTGTGCACCTTCTATATATATGTTAGTATTTAAAAGCTGCTTGTGATTGGCTTAGGTTCATCATGTGACTTTCTCATCACCTCCTGGTGATTATGGTGGTTATCAGTGTATTACAAAGGTACAAAACAGATTTCAGTACTTCAATAGGTTGGTATATTAACATTATATCAGTTAATGAAATTACGGTATTTAAATGTAAATTTAAGTTAAAACCTAAAATGTTGCTACTGTATTTTTTACGGTAAGATTCTGGCAACTACAGCTGCCGTTTTTTTTTTACCGTAAATTTTACGGATTTTTTTTTTACAATGTAGGTAAAGGTAAAACCACCAAAAAAGACAGAAATAAGGTCGTTACTTGTGTCAGGTGAAGCCATGGTGGATACAATGACCGGAGGTCCGGTTCTCCGGGTCTGAGGCTGGAGGGCTGAAGATGCTGGAAGGATGGCACTCTCCACAGGAGCTGCTCCCTTGCGCATTAACTGAGGGCTGTGATGGGGGCTATGAGAAGGAGAGAGAGGAGGAAGGTTCGGAGGGCGCTTCATCAGCTCCATAGGGCTGTATGTAGTGGAGAAGGTCTTGGGTGCCACTCCTGGAGTAGTCGGAGGTTGTTGTTGAGCGGACATGGCCAGGCTTGTGTGGGCATTGTACAAAGGTCGTGTTTGTGTGGCGTAGCCCCCCGGACTGACCGGAAAACCTCCGACCAAGCGAACCCCTGGATATTTCGTGGTTTCGAGGAGATGTTGAGACGGAGCACTGTTCGGCCGCCGACCGAGAAACTCTCCCATTCTTGGAGAGACGGACTGCAGGGCGCTGGGAGGCTGTTGAATGAGGTTTCCATCCACTGCCTGAGACTGCATGTAGAGATCATTGCGATGGCTGAAGCTGTTAGAACGACTTCGCATAACCGCAGCACCGGTTGCTCCCGTCTTGCAATTGAGAACCACTCGAGAAAGCACTCGTGCTTGGCCCAAATTGGGAGCGACGGAGCGGACGTCGTGGTCTTCCATCATAGCAAGCATGGAGGTAGAATCAAACCCTTGCTGTAGGAGAAGAGTTATAGTGCTTTCCGACAGACCCTCGGAGCGCAGGAGAGCTAGAAAACTGGGATCCACGGTTCTCTTGGGGTCGACAGTGACGGCCGCCGGAGGGTGGTGAGTGGAGCCTGGATCATAAGCAGGGTCGTAAGGCATCCTTTGAGTTGACACAGAGCCGTAAGCAGGGTTCCCTCGAGGAAGAGTCCCGTCCATGACTGGAGCTGTAGGGTCCACTACTATGCAGGTGGATCCAGAGTCCAGAGGAAGGTCGTTGGCATCGCTGAACACGGAGTGTTCTGCTGGAAATCTGGATTCAATGCCAAAGCAAGCCGGTGAAGCGGCTCTACTGCGAATGCGCTGGCTGTCTGGGATCATCTTGATGGATAGAGAATCCCTGTACAAGCGGCTGATCTCATGAGCCGAGGGAGGAGGAGGAGGAGGAGGAGGAGGCCTGGGCGTAGGAGCAGGAGTAGTTGCTCTAGCTTGCCCTTGATCCCAAGCGTTCCTGACCCCTCCTGTGGCCAAGCCATAATGCGAGCCTGATCTGCTCAGCATGTGCTGGTTTCCTTTATAAAAGCCCTGCAGATCTTCAGGTGGCTGGGCTGATAGAGCGATATCAAAAGGGTAGTAATCCGGAGGAGGAACGGTGCCGCGGACAGCCATGAAGTTGCTTCAGAGATTGCGGTTTGTTTCAGTGGAAGCAACCCATTAGCCGACAGAGATCAAGTTTGAGTGCAAATGCTCGTGCACTACAGAACGAAAGCGTAATGTGTAGTGAATGCATGCACGGGTGAGGAAAGAAGAGAGGACGGTTGTGAGGAGAGGGAAAGGCAGGTGTTTGATTTCACTTCTCATGTTTCCCTGCAAAGGTGTGCGAGGGAGGTAACATTTCACCTGATGTCTGGCCGACATTTTTTTTTTTTTGCATTACTTGAGGTGTGATTGGCAGGTAAACCCTAAATTATTCAGCATTGGAAACATAAGCAAGTCAGATGGAAGAAGAATAGGACAACACAACTGCTCCGTAACACAAACTTACCAACTTAACAGCAAGGAAACACACTTTATACACGAGCTGGATTCTGGATGCTTTCAGCCATCGGGTTTTGATTTGGGAGGGAAAGATGTAAAAAAGAGGCAAAACAGAAGGACAACGCATTGGCAAAGGGCTCATGCTAATCTAAAGGGGTTTATCCTTCCCTACAGCACTGAGAGATTAGTCCAAATAAAACCAACTTAATACCACTGTCCCCTATGACAAACACTCAAACTGTCATCTCATCATTTGTGTCTCAACGTCTGCCAAACATGAAGGGACTGATTTCTCTCCAATGTCAGCAATATAAAGATCCCAGAGTGCGAATGGTTATTTAGTTCAGTGTCTTGCACGGTGTTAGGATGCAGTGTTAATCCTCACACAGATCTGGGCAGAACGCGTTAATGCTGAACACGTCACTTACAAAGATTCACAAATAATGTGGACAGTTTGGGCTGTTTGGTTTATATTCATGCCATACATATGTGATCCTGGAGCACAAAAGCAGTCATAAGTCGCTGGGGTATATTTGTAACAATAGCCAACAATACATTGTATGGGTCAAAATTATCAATTTTTCTGTTATGCCAAAAATCATTAGGATATTAAGTAAAGATCATGTTCCATGAAGATATTTTGTAAATCTCCTACCATAAATATATCAAACCTTAATTTTTGATTAGTAATATGCATTGCTAAGAGCTTCATTTGAACAACTTTAAAGATGATTTTCTCAATATTTTGATTTTTTTGCACCCTCAGATTCCAGATTTTCAAATAGTTGTTTAGTTTACTATAACCCATCTTGGTTTGGGTTATACAGATGTTTAAACAAACCTCAAATTAAAAGTGCTAAAGCAAACACATTTACAAAACTTTACCCTTTATCTACACAACAAAATTAGGGTTGGAAAAGACACATTTTAAGCTGTTAAAAATGGTGATAAACTTACACATTCTATATTAAAAGCTAAATTACTCCTGCTTAGCATCTACAGTAACTAATGAGCTATATCACTCTGAGGAAGAATGGTTTATTCCAATTATAATTAATAAATGTAACTATTTATTGACAATTTGTGTCTTTTTTCACCATTGTTTGTATCTTATCTTCCTAAAGGTTCTTCTGAGTGTAAAATATCTTTATGCTCAATTTATGATTACATACAACTCTTTATGTTCACTGTAAGAACCTTCACACGCAGTGTCATGATAAACAGTTCACAATCCTACCAGAGTCTGGAAATATCTGCAAGAACGGCCCAACAAACATAAATATATCTGACAGCAGCTCCCTAAAAATAGAGCCGATCCTTAAGGCAAAACCTTAAAATAAACCCAGCAGTGCTTACGGAGTGGAACGGTATTATCACATTACCACAGGACTTTTCTGCAAAAGAAGAATTTCATACAAACATTATACAGATAGATTTAACAATAACAGGTACATGATGATATTAAATCTTTCAAAACATGCATGCACTTTTTATTCTTAGAATCAGAACAAATACGCGTGAAGGAAGGTCCACCCCTAAAACTAATCATCAGTGAAGCATGAGCAGATGGAATGAAAATGTACAAATACGATACGAATTCATGCAAATTAGTAAAAATAATAAAATTTTAAATAGTTGCAAATTGCCATGAGAATGTGTTTGGCCTCTTTTAATGTGGACAAGTAAACAACCACCCAAGCTAATGTTTTTTGAAAGTTATATAAGTGTTAGCACAAAATATTCTTAAAATAAAGTTTATGAAACTTTCTTATAAATGTATAATATATATGTTTTTATACTATTAAGAGAAAATATTCTTGGATCAAAATTCGGAATGATGTTATTTGTACTTGAACATTCTAAGAACTGTTTTTTTGTAACCTTTAAATAATGTTATGTAATATGACAAGAAACCGGGATGTGTTAATGTTCTCATGATATTAAAAATAAACATTCAAATAACACTATATTTTGGATGAAATAAAGTCAGTAGAATGTTGTAAAAACTTTTTTGTAATCTTTAGTGTTTGAATCACATCAAGAAAACTGGACATTGTAATGTTTTTAGAAATTTAACATTCAAATAATGTTATACTTTGGGTTAAATTAAATTAAAGATTCATTAAAAATAAATATTCGAATAATGTTATATTTTGGTAAAACATGAAGTTAGTAGAATGTTCTAACAAACATTTTTGTAACCTTTAAATAACAGTCTAATTACGACATTTTAACATTCTTAGAATATTTAAAATTAATATTCAAAAAACGTTCTATTTTGAGTAAAAATAAAGTTAGTAGAATGTTGTAAAAAAACATTTTTGTAACCTTTAAATAACGCTCTATTAACATCAAGAAAGCCAGATATTTTAACATTCTTAGAATATTACAAAAGAAACACTTTTGTAACCTTTAAATAACATTCTTACCACGACAAGAAAACTGGACATTTGAACCTTTTAGAAACATTTTCAAACAATGTTCCCACAACGTTTTTAAACCTCAGTTTGTTACCCATGGTTACCTAGCAACCACTGAGAACACCTTAGCAACCACCTACATCATCCAAACACCTGCCACAAAGCTACTGGCCAATGAAACTTTTGTGGAACTTAATAAAATGTAACAGATTGTGTTGCATATTCTGAACGGCACCTGCAGCGTATATGGGCCATTCAGAAACGTCTTGAAACAAATGTGTCTTTTTCCAGAACATTTGTATGTATGCAAATTGTATAATACCCAAGGTACACATTTCTAATAATTGTGCAGTTAATTCTCATATTGTATTTTCAGAAAGTTTTGGAATATTTGTCTTTTCCCCAAATTTGTCACTAGCGAAACACAGTAATAATAATTTAATTAGAAGGGTTATATTGACCTATTAAGATTTTGCTTGCATCTAGATTGTAAATATATTTAGTTGCTATTTTATTAAAAAAAAAATCAGAGGTAAATCAACAACAATTAAATTTTTAACAATATTTCAAGTGTAATTTATGAGATTTGTTTGTTTTTTTAATGCCATTTTTCTTTGTAAAAGGCAAAAAGATGATCATACTGATTTTAAAGTTAAGGATTCATTAGTTTGAATATACATTGAACCAACCATAATTCAGTATACTTTATTTTTGACAAAACATCCCATGTTTCGATAGTGACAGTAATGTTTTAGCAACCGCAACACATTGCACAATTTTAACTCGCATACTAAAACATACTAAAATACGATGCAAAAACGAAATGTTATGGAATAACTCCGAAAAAAAGTTTCTTAATTTCAATATAATTTTCATAAGTTAGGGTTCGGGACAGCCACCTCCCAATTGAAAGTACCCAATAAATGATGATTTGCTTACTAATATTTTAAATATTATTGTGGGTTTCAATAGATAATAGAAGGATCTATTATCATTTTGATGCTCATAAGCTCATTTTTGTTTGTGCTGATTTGCTAAACGACGTGCCATGTTTCATGTAATGCACTGATTACAGCGACTCGATGTTATCCATCAGGAATAGATTTCATATCAGAACGGAAACAGAAATGAATGTGAGTTTGCAGTGGATTGTGGGAGATCGATTTCCTTTTAATCGCATTTAATCGCTTTTTGACTGTTCAAATTAACCAGCCGAAAGGTTAAAGCAAGACATACTGATAAATGTTTTCATTTGGATGCTAAAAGCAGGTTGTGCACCATACAGAATAAAATTGAGAATTTTTCAATGAAACAGAATTCAGAATTGCAAAAGAAATTTAAATGCAATTCAAATTTAAATATAAGGAAGTAAAATGACAATTAATTGAAATATGTGACACTCAACCACAAAACCAGTCATAAAGGTCAGTTTTGTGAAATTGAGATTTATGCATCATCTGAAAGCTGAATAAATCAGCTTCCATTGGTGTATGGTTTGTTAGGATAGGACAATATTTGGCTGAGATACGATTATTTGAAAATCTGGAATCTGAGGGTGCAAAAAAATCTAAATATTGAGAAAATCATCTTTAAAGTTGTCCAAATGAAGTTCTTAGCAATGCATATTACTAATCAAAAATTAAGTTTTGATATATTTACGGTAGGAAATGTACAAAATATCTTCATGGAACATGATCTTTATTTAATATCCTAATGATTTTTGGCATAAAAGAAAAATGTATAATTTTGACCTGTGCAATGTGTTGTTGGCTATTGCTACAAATATACCCCAGCAACTTAAGACTGCTTTTGTGGGTCTGTAGTAAAACTGTAGTTTTTTTACTAGAAAAGCAAAGTAAAGACAAACTCGTCTTGACAAAGCCTTCGGAAAAAGTTTGGGAAAAAGCCTTGAAGTACAATAGAATTACAGATAGATGAATACAATTCAGTAATTCCTCTTCCTGTCTTTCTGATTCAAAATCCTATCAGGGTTATTACTGTTAACTAAAATGAAAACTATTAAAACATGTTTATTAATTAAAATAAATGTGACATAAAATACAGTTAAATACAAATATTAGACGAAAAACTTCAATTAAAAAAATTTGGAATGTTGCCTAGGCAACAAACTGAAATAAGTTTAGGTTGAAGCTTTAAAATTGCTAGACGGAAATAAATAAACATTTAAATTTGAACTAAAACAAATGAAAATATGAAATGAAAACCTCAATAGGAATATTTAAAGAAATAATAAAAAATGATGTTTTTCTTAGAGACACTTTGTGGGGAGCTCCTATTTCATGCACATATTAAAACGAAGAAAGAACATTTTACCTAAAAATAATATGAAAACAAAATATAAAAATAAAAGCTATTTCAAAATATTAATCAATAGTATATAAATAGTGCTAAAATAACACTGATTCCAATTCAAGTTCCTGCGTGTTGTGATTGACTCAATTCAAATTCAC